TGGCCAGCAGGAGCAGGGAAGTGATCGTGCCCCTGTACTCGGCACTGGTGAGGCCGCACCTTGAATCCTGTGTTCAGTTTTGGGCCCCTCACTACAAGAAGGACACTGAGGTGCTGGAGCGTGTCCAGAGAAGGGCAACGAGGCTGGTGAGGGGTCTGGAGAACAAGTCTTCTGAGGAGCGGCTGAGGGAACTGGGCTTGTTTAGCCTGGAGAAAAGGAGGCTGAGGGGAGACCTCATCGCTCTCTACAACTCCCTGAAAGGAGGTTGTAGTGAGGTGGGTGTCGGTTTCTTCTCCCAAGTAACTAGTGGTAGGACGAGAGGAAATGGCCTCAAGTTGCACCAGGGGAGGTTTAGATTGGATGTTAGGAAAAATTTCATTACTGAAAGAGTGGTTAAACATTGGAACAGGCTGCCCAGGGAAGTGGATGAGTCCCCATCCCTGGAGGTATTTAAAAGACGTGTAGATGAGGCACTTAGGGACATGGTTTAGTGGGCCTGGTGGTGTTGGGTTGACGGTTGGACTCGATGTTCTTAGAGGTCTTTTCCAACCTCAATGACTCTATGACTATGACTAAGTTGAATAACGGTTAGGTTAAAATAACATTTTTTTCACACTTGAAAGTCAGCACACTCACCTTTTTATTTGAGGTTAAGTCCAATTCCTCAAGGTGCATGAGGCAAATATTTGCTGAGTATCTAAAATGTTTTTCATGCATCAAAAAGCTCTAGAACGCTACAATCACTAATGACTTGCCATCTTTCATCTCTGTTCACAGACAGGCAATGCAATTTCAGGAACTGCATAGTATGTCAAGAGTGGAGTGTTTATTGAAGGATATCTTTTCTCCTCCCCTTGGGGCTCTAGAGGGTGATCTATTTGATACGTACTCTCCTTGGCCACTCCATTTTCTGTTTATCTGAGCATAAAACAGGTGCTATAAGAATTCCATGACCTCCAAAAATCTCAGTATTTTTGCAAAGCTTCAGATTGGAAATATTAGGGGTAAACCCAAATCAAAACTGGAACAAAAAAAAGCTAAGAGGAAGTGGAAATGTTGATTTCTTGTGGTTTCCCATAGATCTGCTGTGTGGCTTTGGGACTTTAGTTCTTTCTGTGCATTCGGAAATACAATAAAATAATTCTCCACAGAACAAGGGGGAAGCAAAATGCATTTGTAGGGTAACAAATAAGTATCCATTAGTGATGAAGTTTTCTGTGTAAGCCCATTGCATTTCAGTGACAGGCACTCTCCCTACACTTGGAGTGTCCTTTTATAACCTTCTCAGTTGAATGGGCAGCCCAAAGCAACTTCAGGATCAGAGCACGAATGAAAATATAAATCTTACCCTAGTCCATTTTCCTGCATAGCTTCACAAGAGAAATTAGTTGCATGAACCTTCTTTTATTTCAGAGGTAGCTCTTTCCCCTTCGAGTGCTCTGAACCATCTGTTCTTTTCAAAATCTTGCTAAATGCCTTTTTCCCATATATAAATGATGCACAAAAAAGTCCCCAACATAATCTGCTTGTAAGATCTGGGTTTGTCCTGGTGTCACATCCATCCCAGGTCAGTGCCTTAGGCTGTTCTCCACAGAACCAACCAATCAGCCTCGCTCTGGACCAACAGTTAAATATTCGTAGCCAACAGAGCCAAACAGCTGAAACCAAGAGAGCACACAGCACATCAAGGTTCTGGAAAACAGAGCTTCAAATCCCTACAGGAACTCAGGCCACCAGTGGACAATGACATTATTGTCTTGCATCCCATCTACATGAAGAAGCCTTCCTGCAAGTTCTCTGATCTTTCTTTTGCTTTTTTCTTTCCCTTCTGCTGAGAAGCCTTGAGATTATCCCACAACAGAATGAGAATATTTTTGTGAGAATGAACATTGTGCTGGTTTGGCTGGTGTAAAGTTAATTTTCTTCATAGTAGCTGGTATGGGGTTATGTTTTGGATTTGTGCTGGAAACAGTGTTGGTGGTAATACAGGGATGTTTTCGACATTGCTGAGCAGTGCTTACACAGAGTCAAGGCCTTTTCTGCTCCTCACCCCACCCCACCAGTCAGTAGGCTGGGGGTGCACAAGAAGTTGGGAGGGGACACAGCCGGGACAGCTGACCCCAATGGACCAAAGGGATATTCCATACCATGGGATGTCATGCTCAGCATATAGAGCTGGGGGAAGAAGGAAGGGGGGGACGTTCAGAGTGATGGCGTTTGTCTTCCCAAGTAACCGTTAGGCGTGATGGAGCCCTGCTTTCCTGGAGATGGCTGAACACCTGCCTGCCGATGGGAAGGAGTGAATGAATTCCTTGTTTTGCTTTGCTTGCGTGCGCAGCTTTTGCTTTACCTATTAAATTATCTTTATCTCAACCCATAAGTTTTCTCATTTTTACTCTTCTGATTCTCTCCCCCATCCCACTGTGGGGGAGTAAGCGAGCAGCTGTGTGGTTCTTAGTTGCTGGCTGGGGTTAAACCGCAACAAACATTTTTGTGGAACATAACTAACTGCTCCACAACATCCCACACTGTGCACATGAGTCTTGCTGCACTGCAGGGACATAAAACAGTCCGCTTTCCTGACTAAGGGTGACTCAAAGCAAAGCAAAAGTCCTCAGTAGGCAAAACTAGTTGTTGTTTTTGTTGGTGGTTCTAAAACCAAATCTGTACCAAATCTATTGAAAGGACATAGGAGGCTCCTAGATCCTTGCGATTGCCCAAGTGCAGAGCCATATGTAGAGAGAATACATCACTCCAGCTGTCCTCAGCTGTCTGATGCAGCCACAGAAATGCTCTACTTGGGTGAAGGTAGGTGCAATTATTTTACATCTGTCCCCAGCAGCTACTGGCTGGGGACAGGTTAAGGTATGTCTGAGAAGCCACTTCTCAGCCATTTCCTTGGAATCTCTGTTAATAAATAGAAAGGAGAGAAAAAAAATCCCCTACACTTCTCTTTTTTTTTTCTTTGTAAACACTTCTAGTTCATGCTACAGTTTTCACAAATAAATTTTATAGTACTGCCACAAGCATGGACACTCATAAATTGGTCCGGTAGAATTAAGGATTTTTGTTTTAACTTCAAACAGTTTACTGTTTAGAATTCTGAGAGAAACTATCACTTTCAATTTACTGAATGACAGTCATCTATTGAATGACAACTTTCTTATAATTAGGCGTGACATCTCCCACTGCAGCTAGGAACAGGTATTTTTCACTGACAAAAAATCAAAACCAGTTTTCTCTAGACCTTACTTTTTTGAAGAAGTAAGCTTTATTGCTCCATTCTTCTTCACAGTCACCAGTTCCTGAAGTCCTTATTCATAAAAGCATCTCAGAGGGCTAAATTTAGCACTGCTGTACATAAACAAATCCCATAGAAAATTAACTATGGTTTGGAGTCTGGAGGAGTTAAGGGTCAACATATTTTTTTAAAACAATGCTTATGTGCTTCTAAATTTGGGTCCTGCTGCAGAGAATTGGTAACTTCTTGTATTTAGGAAAAAAAGAAGGACACGATTGTGGGTAACTTCTTGTATTTAGGAAAAAAAGAAGACAGCAAAGGACACCTGGCACCAGATTCAGGTAGAGATAGTGGAAGTGGCATTTGCTCTGCTTTACTCTAAAAAACTGGCAAGTAGGCTTTTCCACCAAAGCTAGTCATCAGGAGAGTCTTTGTACAAGCCCTTTTCTAGAACGTAATTTCTCTGAGATACTTGAAATGTCCACATTACAAACAAGGGACCTAAGAAGGTCCTATTTTTCTCCATTAACTATAGAGGGAACTGTGATGACTAACCCACATGGAAGTATCTAAACTGTAGACATCTAAATACGTTTAGGTGAATCTTACCCTGAGGACTGTGGTCCCTTTAGGTGTCAGTCCAGAAAAGGACCAAGATAATCCATGGAAGAACCTACAGATAAAATGTATTTGAAAGGAAGGGCAGACACAGTTGCCATAAGACAGAGAGATAATTAAAAAAATTCAGATATGAAATTGTCAACACATAGGCTGATGCCAAAGAGTAGGGGCAGAGGCAGGAGTCCCTGTTGTTGCCTGTTTGCTTCCCCCTTTGCCCAAGGGGGAAGGGCAGCTGTGTGCAATAGTGCAGACTGGGAATAGAGGCTGATGTCCTACCAGTGGGGCAGTCTCAGCATCCCAGTTTCCAAGACAGCTGGGCAGAGCTGCAGTCCTTACATGTTTCCCTGAGGGTCTCACCAGGACAGCTGGTTTCACTGACACTGTTTTATTTGTGTTCCTGTACAGTTCATTCTTGGGCCAGCGTCAGGTCATCCTTCTAATAATGCACTGGAAAGGCAGTAGGCCACGTTAGCTACTCTTGGCATGTGCCGTTTTATAAAGATCCCAGTAGGTTTACATCAGTGTCTTTTACTTCTCTGTTTACTAGCCCTTTTTCTGCTTGGTGAACACGTCTGAGTGAGTTTTCCTTTCTCCCCTTGGTGGTTAGGGAAGGAACCACTGATATTGAGCTCCACGTAAGAGAAAGGATTACCTATATATTGCTTTTAGGACAGTATGTGCATGTCAGCACATTGGCTCAGGAAGAAAAGATGATGGTTAACAAACTATGTTTTGGGAAGGTCTATTTCATGTCCACCCAGAGGCCACATCAGCAATCCTTAACACAGTTTTACTCAAATGAGGCATAGCTTCAGGCCGTATATGTACATGATGCATTTTAAACTGCAGTGAACAAAATGGATGATACAAATCAAATGGTTTTGTGTCAGCCTTCCCTTACACAACGCTATTAAGACTGGCCAAGCAGGCTTGTGTTTGCCTGGCGTGTCATGAGAATGATGCATGTGTTTGTAGAGTATGTACCACTATGACATGGCTGACATTACTTTCTATCTCTTAGATATGCACATGTATAGGAGAGACCACGAGTACGTTTTACGTATGCTTGACTGGACTGTCTTACTGTTTTTACCCCACTCGGTAAAGAGGCTGGCTATAATTGCATGGTATTACTCACCTGCCCAGCAGCAAAAATTCTCCAGCGAGTCCCAGGCGCCTCATAGCCATTAAGAGTCCTCTCACAGTCATGCCTTCACAGAAGCAGGCAACCACTCTTGCCTTGGGCAGGTGGCTCCGAAGCTTTCGCAGCAGCTTGTCAAAGCTCTGTTCACCAGCATTGCTATAGATCTTGTAGGAATGTGCAATGCAGATCCCTTCCTTGGCCGCCATATCTTTGAAAGCTTCCATTCCACTTTCACCGTAGTTTCCTAAATACAAACAGAAACACATATGCAGATATTAAAATTTGCAGAAGCTTTTCATGCTTTGGAAACAGCAAATATTTTAAAGAATATGTAACATATCTGCATAGAGATCAGTGTACCGATCTTAACAAAATAACATTAACATTTTGATTTATTAATCCATTTTTTAAGTCAAGGTCAACGTATTTTCCCAGAAACCTCACTTCTGTTTAGGAGCCTGCACCTCTGTTGAAATCAAAGGCTGTTAGGTACCTCAATACCTTTGAGGATCTGGTCTCAAATGTTTACAACAATGTATATATAAATTGCACAGCTTCTTCTGATTCTCTTCAGTTGACTAAATGTGGTCAAGTGCTCTGGGGTTTACTTCAGAAAATCTAAAAATATATGTTCAGAATAAATATTTTAAATATAAGCAAAACAAAACAATGACTCATAACAACACGACTTTGTTCATAATGCAATCTGAAAAGCAAAAATTTTTTTAATTACACTGAAAGTTAAAACATCCTATGAAGAAAGAACTTCTGGTGACTCGGGAGGATGAATGGCATAATTGAGGATTAGCATTACAGAGACCACAGGATCACAGATGGACTAATTGTACTTCTGTGTTGGTTTTCTCTAAATTAAATGTCTACCAACCCAACAGGAAAAACTTCATATTTTCTTTCAATCTATTCTTCCCCTGTGGGATAAACTGATAATAAATATTAACAGATAGATACATTTATTGTTTTTTATTCTGTTTCACCATGGAAAATTCTTCATTGCTAGGCCTTTTTCTCAAAATTAAATGTCTACCAACCCAACAGGAAAAACTTCATATTTTCTTTCAATCTATTCTTCCCCTGTGGGATAAACTGATAATAAATATTAACAGATAGATACATTTATTGTTTTTTATTCTGTTTCACCATGGAAAATTCTTCATTGCTAGGCCTACATAAAAGTCACAGTGCTTGAACAGTGGGTGTACTGACGCCACTGACAATCATCCTGACCAGGATTGTCTCTCTGGTTCCCTGTGCTCCTCCATCTGGCTGTCTAAATCTGTTTCATGTCTCATTTAAATAAGAAGGCCTTTGAGGCAGGAAATTTTTCTCCAAAATATTGCCTTAACCCCTCAATAATATTCCATAGAAACACAGTCAGTAAATTAGTAAAAGTGAGAGTGTTAAAATAATGCTTTTGCAAGGAACTGCTGGTCCTTCACTTATTTCTGTTAGTTTGCAAATGGAAGAATCTGTAAGGAAAATGCTTTCTTTCACCAGCATATTTACAAGTATATAAAAGCACTGAAGGTGAAAATGCAGTAAGAATCAGACAACTGGATTTGGGCTGTCATCTGGTTTTGTGACCTAAGACATTGGAGCCACCAAGCATTCAGCTTGCCCACCTAGGGAATCGTCCCTGTCGCTCTGGTGCTAGAGTTTAAAGGCTGTATTAGGCTCAGCACTGCACATGAACATGAAAAACACTGTCTCTAGTTTGAAGATCTTACCATCTGAATAGCCAAAAGAAACATAGAGCAGAAGAGAGGAAATAGCATTACCTACATTTCACATCAGGAATGAATCACTGAGACCTTGAAATTTCCAAATGGTGCCCAACCAGAACGGCAACTTGAATGCAGATGTCCTTAGCTAATATGACTTTCATTTTCCTCCCTGCTGTGATCAGGCCTGATGGAAAAAACATTACTATGCAAATTGTGCCTGGACAAAATGTCATACGATTTTTAAACTCAGTTGTTGCAATGCTTCCTGGGAGTTGTAAATCAAGTGCCTACTGCTTCCCCATGTGTCACGCTCTTAGGGCAAACTATGTTTCCCGTGATACATGAGCATCAAGTGATTCCCATGAGATGCTGAAACAGTTCAGCTAGAGGTCAAAAATGTGGTGCCTCATGAAAGATGTATTATAGCCTCAGAAGTCAGTCTGAAGGAAAAATGGGGGTCAGCCACATGTAACTCCCACCGGGCCCTGAGGCCATCTAAAATAAAATTAAGCTGTTTGACAGGAAATACACTGCTTTGTTTAAAATTATTCCAATTTAAGTTAATCTGGATCAACATTAAATGTTGTGTTTCATTTTTCTAACAGAAAATAAAAAGGAAAAAAAAAAATCATATCCAGCTTTGTCATAGAAGATGGAAGTTTGAGGAAAAGCTGTTCCATAGTATATCTCAAAGAGATTGAAATTCTGAAGACTTCATTTTCTGTCAAAAAATTGTCAATGGAAAATTCACGGCCAGGTCTTACAGAATTGGATCTCTTCAATGTTCCAGATGCTGCACTCTTTGTTTGAAAATGTTATAAACGTACAAACGTATAAATGTACAAACACCCTGAGGCTTGCTATAAAGCTGAGAATAGGTTTCATTACAGTACTGAAAAACAGTAGGTCTTAAAATGAACACAAAGTGCATTAACTCTTTTCCAGTCAAATAAGGGTTGCTCCGGCATAAGTGCCATGGACTCATCATGTATCAAGACAGGGAGGTTTTGTGAAACCATACAGAAAGTAATGTGTCATCCAAAATGAGAGGAAACATGTTAAATTACCAAGGCCACTTAGCAAAGTGTTACGTTTTTAACATTTGGAAAAAAAACACCCTGGCAGTCCAAATGTGAGAGTGACTGAGTTCTCCAACTTGGAAAACTATAGCTGTATGGCATGAGCTCAAGGGAGATTTGATGAAAACAGAAAGCAGCCTTGCTTCAAGACACTCATACAAATACACTGGTGGAGCTCGTCATGATCATTGCTGATTAAACTCTACTTAATTAATTATTTATAGTAAATTCCCCTGTTGTGCAAGAAGTTTGATGAGGTATGTATATTTAATTTGAGCTATACTGTGGGGATAATGAACACTCCTTGATGGAAATATAAATTCTTTTCTGCTGAAGTCCTTTGCACCACATACTAGGATTAATTTCCTCTGAGCTATCTTTCTTTCTGTGGAAAAACTGTACGTGCATGAAGGTATACATATAGCACTGAGGGAATGGGAGTGGGAAACTGGGTAAGTTACACTACATCATTTGCTTGAGGGTGAGATGTGAGGTTCACAGTGGAAGAGCATCTCCATGCTTTCTGTATGGAACTGGGCTCTTCATGGACGTTTCGTTCTTGAACTGTGGCATTTCCATAGTAGTACTACTAAAACTGCTACAGCAAGAGCAAGTTTCCGCTGACTGGGCAGTTCCCGCTCTTCAGCCAGGTCTGTGACACAAGGAGAAGGATATGGGGACTTTTGGGCTTGCACACATGGATGGACAAGGTGAGGACTTATGCAGCCTGACTCTGAGAATGAGTCTGTAGTTTCACTTCCAAGTGAAAATTAATTCAGAAGCCCTACGCTGGAACCAAAGCAACGTCTTCTGTGAGTCCCCTGTGATGGAAGCTGCCTAGGTCCTGGCAATCTATCCACGTAGCTATTTTGTTTCTGTTTCTAAATTTAAAGAAAGATCCTAAGGAAAAGTTAAACAGAAAGGAGGGATTGATTTACTTCTGCTTGGCTAGTTCCAGTTCAGCAGAAAAGACTCAACAAACAACACAAGCTGGAAGTATGGTCAATTCAGCTCCTCCTCCCCCACCAAACTCCATCTCCATTTCAGTGTTTGGAAACCAGCACCTCTATATTGTGACTGGCTCTGCTGGAGGAGATATCACAATTTTTTACTGGATGTTCATGTCCTCTTGAAAGTTTTTCTGTTGGTGGCATAATCAGAGCTGCTGGCTGTTGATGGCTTTTGTAAATATGTCCTGTACTCATGGAAACAACTGGCAGCTGGGTTCTTTTAAAATGCCAGCCTGAATCCTGCATGTTGCCTACCTGAACGTCTGGCCCTAAGCCCAGTTCAAAAGCTACTCCCATATGTCTCTGCATGTTTAAAAAAAAATTGATTATGTCATCATGCAAAAGACTTATGCCTGCTTCAGAGTTGGAATTTTGTTCAAAACTCAAGCATATGCGTCCCCACCTACAGTCTAACTATAACAATCTGTTAGTTCCACTTCCAATGAATCAGTACTAGAAACTATTAAGAAGCTTAAAAAGAACAGATTGTGCTTTTTTCCAGATGAAGCTTAATATAGTATAGTACATAATAATACTTCAATCTGATAGAAAAGGGTCAGGCAAACTGCAAGCTGCTCTTGCTGCTCCTCCTGCCCAGCAGTTGAGCCAATTAAACTATCTAAACATAAACCATTAAGATCTTATCTGCGTTACACAGCAAAACAACAAGGTTTTTAATCTCAAGATAATAAACAAAATACACTGACATCTGCTGTATCACACTAAAAGTTGTCAATATGAGACAAAAAGTCCCTACAGCCAAATGGAATAATGAACCACATTTTCTCCTGCCCAGGGATTTTTGGGGTGTCACACATTTCTTTTTGAATGCAAGAGCTTTTTTATCATTAGCTGCACGTACAAATTGTTATCAGGTAATTGTTAGGTTTATAAGAGAGTTTCAGTGAACATAGATGAGAATCAACCTTTAGGAGAGATTTAGGATGTAAAATTGCTTTGGGTAGAACACAGTGAAAATTCACAAAGAAAAAAGACGAGGAGGCTGAAGTGAAATTGAAGAAATGCATTATGTCATTCATCTAGCTGGTAATAATCCTACCTACCACAAAGCGTATTTATTTCAGCTGAAGTGCTACCATCATTTTTATAGACAAGGAAGAGCAAAACACAGAATAATACTCTATGCTGTATCTGAGCCACAGAAAAGAAGTCAAGTCAGGTTAAAATTCTCAGTAGATGTTTTGCAAGCAATACAGGGAACACAGAGCTTAATTTTTTACTAGCTTTAATTGGCATCAATAGAATGAACTTTGCCAGAAATACCTAAAAAAATCTAAGTAGGTATAATTTTGAAAATGCATGTGGGAGTAATGGAAGATATTTATGAAAGGCAACATGTTGGTTGATTTACCAGGATGATCTTCCAGAGAGTCAAGGATATGGGGGTGTAGA